GCAGGAGAAGCAAGCTTAGCTATAAAAGAGGACCAGCATAAAGAAGTTATAGGCAATCCAAGAGGATGACAGAGTTTGTGGAACGCAGTTGGGTGGAAGCAAAAGATAAATGGGGGAGAACGAATGATGTTTTAAAGAAATTGAAAGAAAGGTTTTAGAATTATTGAAAGAAACGTGGTTTGCTATGTCCCGGGAGGAGATGTGTTCGAGTACAGTGAGACATTAACTGCACTACGGTCACCATCGATGTTGATTTGAGCATGGCGAGCAGTGCGGTGAGAGAGCGTAGTGGAGGGTGACGTCATCAGCAAAAGAATAGCTAGGGTTAGTAGTTTGGGAAAGGAGATCGTTGGTAAATAGAAGAAAGAGGGTGGGCGCAAGTACTGAACCTTGGGGAACACTAGCGTTCACAGGGAATGGCTGAGATAGAACCCCATCGACTCGGAAGGAGTTGGTTAACTTACTGAGGAAACTTGATATCCACGCTACGAGCGCCGGAGGGAACCCAAGTATGGGTAGCTTCGCCAGTAGACCTTCGTGCCAAACTCGGTCGAAGGCTTTTGAGATGTCAGGCGAGATCAAGTGTGTTTCTCCGTGGTTATCGAGTAGAGCTGACCAGAATTGTGAGATGAGAGCCCGCAGGTTACCGGTGGAAGATCGCTGTGGAAAGCCATTCTGGCGGTCGTTCAGTGGTCTTTCGCGTTCAAGGAACGTGCGTAGGTGGTCAGGGATGGGAGTTTCAAATAATTTCGAAAGAACATATGCGAGGGAAATGGGTCGGTAAATGTTGTGGTTAGAACGCCCGCCGTGTTTGGGAATGGCAAAATTCACGGAGTGTTTCCAAGGAGTTGGAAAGGAAGAAGGTCGGAGGAAAAGACTGAAAGGACGACGTAAAACAGGAGCCAACTCAAGAGCACACATTTTGAGGACGATGGGTGGAATATCGTACGAACCGGGTGGTTTGTTTGCGTTTAGAGAGTGCAATGTTTGACGGATATCTCTAGTGCTGGTATGAGGTATAAAAGGGTTACCAGTGAAGAAAGAAGAATGTGGTGTAGGAAAACGGGGCAAGGTGGAATTGGCGTCAAACTGGGAGGCTTTCTCGTTTGGTTGACATACAAGATCACCAGAGGAATTGCAGATGGGGGGAGTTGGAAGGGCAGAAATTACGGGAAATCGCTTTGACAAGGGACCAAAATGTTCAGATACCGGTGGCGGACGAGGACCCGTTTTCGGCTTTACGGCGAACGAAGCGTTCTTTGGTTCTCTGAATGATCGTCGAGCATCTGTTCCTAATTTGCACAAAGCGATGGTGGGAGAGGGGGATGGACGAGCGACTCCAGCGGCGGAGGACTGAACGTTTAAGGCGTACAGCACGGTTACATGCGTGGTTAAACCACTCAGGGGATTTAGGTTTGCCGGGTTTGGAAAAATGAGGAATAAAAAGATGCATACATTGAAGAACAATGTGGACGAAGTTGGCAACGGATTTGGAAACATCCGAAGAGAAACAAC